TCCAGCCCTGAGTCAGGCATATATAATTTTTCTACCTGATACATGGATATGTGCTTCAGCAGTCTGGTTGATGTTTTTCTGTTGGACTCTGCAGGTGAGACTGTAGGTCTGTCTCTTGTTCACAGTCACAGTGCTGCTGACAGTATAGAGGCCATCAGAACCTTTGGCACTGTTTGTAGATTCAGCTGTGATTTGGTTTCCCTGACTGTTCAGCCAAAACACCCGAGGCTCTGGATACCAGCCGTTAGATTTGCATTTAAAGAAGATTTCATTTTTGACTTTGAATATCTCCATGACTACAGAAGAAACAGAACCTACAGAGTAAAATAAGGATAAAAGTTACTTGGAATGCAAAGTTCAGAATTAAAACATTTTTGAATTATTTCAATGGTTCATGTTATTCCAAATTCCTTCCCGATTACCTTCGATTACTCTGTGATCATGCCATATACTTAAGCTTTTTGTTGAAATGGTACAGTGGCTTAAATTGTAATTATAAATACTACTATGCTCTTTTAAAGATCCATTGTGGTTGTCCAATTTAATCCTGTTACATATTTAAATGTTCTTATGGTCAGGTCAAACGCTTTTTTCTTTTGTTGTTTTTTAACCCAGCTGCCCAAATGTTCCTCTCATTGGCCTTAATGCCCTATGAAATGTCTCTAATTCTAAATACCCTCACTATCTTCCACACCTCTCTCCTGTTAGTAAACTGCACTTCTTGAGAACTCAATAAACTATGCCATGCGTCTGGTCAGTCCAAATCTCAATCCAGTTAGTTATGTTAGCTCAAGTAAGAACTAATCTGTCTTTCCCAAATTTTATTCAACTCATATGCTCCTGTAGATGATTCACTTCCCAGTAGAATATCCATCTTGTCATCCAAGGTAAGCTTCTGTTATTTGTCAGTATCCCATGCCTTAATGATTTTCTTTTTTTTTTTTAAGAGCAAATAGTATTGATGTCAACTTACCAATAACGAGCTCCATCCCAGTTTCTGCACCAATTTCAGGAACAAGGCAGTTATACCTTCCTGCATCAGAGACTTGCACTTTGGAGAGTTTCAATGAAATGTCACCACATTTCAGTTTGTTGACAGACAGTGATGTTCTTCTGGAGTATAAAGTATTCTGAGTCACGAGCTCCGCATCGTCCCGCTTTAAGTGGACAAATCTTGGTTTAAGGTCACGTCTAGACCATTCCACAGTCAAGTCAACAGCATCCCTAGCTGGATCTAGCTGGCATGGTAACATGATGTCATCCCCTGTCATTGCAACCAATGGTTGAGTTGGACCAATCATCTGAGACTGACCTGTGGATAAAGTATAATAAACGAATAATATAATTACACTTCATTTGGGTAATTTTTCTTGGGCTGCAATTTCCCAGGTGGTGTGTCTTTACATCTTTCTTCCAGTTGTCTTGCAACACTCCCATCACATATACACAAAAACTCTCACCACATTAACATTATGTTCATTGTTCAATATTACTCTGCAACTTACCTCCACAATGCCATGTTAGAAGAAGAAGGATAACATCATGATAGAAAACCAAGAGAAGCCTGTCCTTCATTGAACGCATTCTCAATTTCTGCATAGTAAAAATAATATAAATACAGTGGGTATGGAAAGTATTCAGACCCCCTTAAATTTTCACTTTTTGTTATATTGCAGCCATTAATGGACACACAGCACCCCATATTGACAGAAAAACACAGAATTGTTGATGTTTTTTTTGCAGATTTGAAGGAGGTAGAGCAGGTCATCTGCTAATCTGAAGGTTGGTGGATGGATTTGCATGTAAGATTGAAAGCACATCCATAGAGAAAACATTCTGTGAATTAAGCCCTTTCAGTACTCAGAGTAGAAAATTGCTAAGAACCATTTACCTGTGATATCAGTTACACAGTTTCAAATTTATACATATATTCTGTTGTGCTTATCTTTTGTTGTTAAAGTTTTCAGTGCTGGTACAGTTTGCATAATAAATGTGCTCAATAATGAAACAGATGTTGATTTAAAAGTAGTTTCACACACACGTGCATAGAAATCACTCTTGGGGCTCCCTGGTGGTCACACCAGTTGCAAAAAGACAAGAATTTCGTGCATTAGCCTACAATGGCAAAATGGTTGAATCTGAGGGAATACAGCAAAAATGTCAAGAAATACAACTTTTCTTCAAAATAAAATGCTGACATTACAGGATGCATGGTTTTATACTACAACAGTATTACAAGAGAGCATAAAAAATGTGGTTTCAGTAGAAGTGAATGGGGCATTTTTGTGTCGAAAGACACTACACAAAAAATAATAATGCAATCAAATCAATGTTGTTGCTGTTCTTTGACATGCCCAAGAATCTAATCGCCCCAATGTCACATCCTCATCCTATTTATTATATGGAAAATTATTTTTTGTGAGTTTGTTTGAATAAATAATTAATACATCAGATGTTTAAGCTGTCATTTAAAGGCTTAAAATCCTAAAAACAACACCAACAAATGTTTTATAATTTTGAAAAGTGCTCAATTTGATTAAGTGATTAATCAGCAGAGTATG